TATTAGTATTATTATTATTATTATTATTATTATTATTATTATTATTATTATTATTATTATTATTATTATTATATTATTATTATTCTTGTTTAAAATTTATATTAATGATCTCAAATCGGTAGAGTAATTTATTGTTTCGTAAATGTACATGTATAATAATTTTTAATACTTAAATTATCTGTTCGGAATATAATGATTGATATTATCCTTTTATTTTATTTTATATTTCTTTCAATATAAATTCTTATAGTATTTTAAATTCTTAAATGTAAACCAAGAAAGAAAGTGAAAGGTAAGTAAATTACGCGGAAGTCTTCGGTTATAAATCGTTTTCTCGAATGTCGTTGATAAAAACCAAATAATAAAAAAAAATATAAAACTCAAATATAATAAAACGCAATAGTAATTTGGCAAATAAGTTTCGTAATAAGATATATTAAAAGTTGAGTATTTTAAAATGCACCATGAATCGTAATTATTACTTAGTTTTAAATATTGATCTGAAAAAATGCAAATAAAATTTTTGAAACGTTCGGAAAAACAAAATCTATGCGATTGGATTAAATCATTTAAATGCAATACCACCGAAACGCAGGCAGGCGTTCAAAAAAGAAAAAAGGATATGAAAGTTAATGTACAAATAATAAATTAGAATGACACGAATTTCTGCCATAAAAAAAAAAAGAAAAATGGATATACAAATATTTCCGTGAATTTTTGTCGTTTAGTGACGTTTTAGAATATCAACTAACAATAAAAGATCGAGGAAATCCGGTTCGGCGCAAGGAACCAAAAGGAACGCAGATCGATCCTGAAAACCCTGGTCTGCACGTGCACCAGCACTTCCTCTAAACATATGTACAACTTGCTTTTTGTCGAAGAGTTTGAACTTCGAAATCGTCCTTACAAAATTCAATATCTATTTAAAAAAATTTAATTTTTCTTCTTATGCAATTTTTATTGTATTTTGATAAACAAGAATAGACGGGAAATTGGCTTTTTACGCGTACATATTTTCGTTCATAAATAACTTTATTTATTTGTGAAGAAAAAATTTACTTAATACTTATAAAACTATTTTACGTAAGTATGTTATTATTAAATATTTTTTCATCATATTTAATCCATTTCTAATTCAAATATTATCGTATCTTTTGATTGTACAAATAAATCATTATTTTACGATAAAATCGAACTCGTTACATTATTTTTATTATTTTATGTAACAGATGCAAATCCCAGTGGTTACCATAGATTTTTGGCGAACGAGTATATGATTTCGAAAACGCAAACGAAGTTTCTGAAGCAGAGTACACGTAGAATGTGCACCGCATGATGTACCTTTGCATGAGAAAGAGCGATGAACGCAAAAAAAAAATATAAAAATATAAAAGTTTCCTATGGATGCAGCAAAGCGTATCTCGTACGTATTTTGGGGCCTGCATGTCCGTTCTCTTATTTCTCTCTGTAACGTGCCTGTTAGATAGATGAACGTCTATTTCAACTATCTACTCTCTATACTCGACTCAACCTTTCATATCTTATCCTTTAAGACTATTCATTCCCCTTTCTGATAAAAACTATGATTGATCAATATATCGGAATTTGAAAAACCAAAGTATGTAAATTTTCCACAAAATTTCTAATAGAATTCGTATCGATCGATTTTGAAACGTGCTCTCTGCAATCGGTTTTTGCAATCGTAAATGACTTTATTCCTACTAACGTTAGAGGTCAAGAATCCTTTGAGAGAGATAATCCCCAGAACAGCACGAATCAGGCAATATCATTGCCACTATCACTATCACAATTATCACGATCAACAGAAGCAACACACTACTCGCATATATATATGCGACACACACACACACACACACACACACACACACACATCACGACGCAAACCCGTCCGTGCACGTTTATCGATGCGATCACGCACCCACTCACCCCGTTCTCGTCCGCGTCTCTGCTTTTGTGTTACAGAATATCTGCCCTCCTCCGCCTCGGTAGACCTATCGGGCACGGACTCAGCCCTCTATCCATTCGACCCGCAGCAGGAGAGCTACCAGGAGATCTGGTTACCGCCGACCAGTATGTATCCCTATTTTCTGTTCCCCGGGACCGCGCGCACCTCGTACCACGACTATGAAATACCGTACGAAGGCCAGGAACAGGAACATCGCCGTCAGCACGGCCATCGTCATCAGCCCGGTCGCCATCAAGAAGAACCGGAAAAGACTGGCAAGCCAAACGTGTTCGTCGTTGACGCGAACGATCCAAGGAGGAAAGATTTAAACAAAGCTAATCCTCGATACGAGGATCGTTTCATCGTGACCGACGATGAACACTTGGCTGGTCAGTTAAACCTTCCAGGTTCAAAGTTTGGCGACCGAAGGCAGAAGGGTGCCCAGGGAGACGTGATCTTTCAAGATTTCGATGGCTCCTCCTCGTTCTCCAACATCCATTCCATATCTTCTTATCCTTCATTCCCTTCCTCCTCTTCTTCTTCTTCTTCTTCATCATCTTCTTCTTCTTCTTTTTCTTCTTCTTCTTCTTCTTCTTCTGACGCATTTTCCAAGCATGATCGTGCCTCCAACACAGTGCACCTGCAGCCAAGGCACCCCCACCAAAGCGAGCATGACGCGCACCCGCACCATCACCATCATCAGCACCAACAGCACCACCACAACCACAATCAGCACCACTACTACTACCCTGCACCTGCACCGTCCCCGTCGTCTTCGTCTTCCTCGTCGTCGTCGTCGTCGTCGTCGTCATCTTTGTCGTCAGGATCCTCGTCCTCGTCATCGTTGTCGTCGTCGAACGCGCACCCACCGCGACCGACGCCTACCGTTGACGAAACTAAACGAATCGAGACACCTCAAGTCGCGCCACCAAAGAAATTCGCACCGAGGCCAACCTACGAGCATCGGGCGATCGTCGATCGCGTCGACGACGACCTCGATGACATCGAGTTCAGGATCGGCGCTCTGCCAGTCGATCGGCTCTTCGATCTCCGCGAGGCTTTCGAAGGCTTCGTCGATCAAGGTTCGTACACGCCTGTTACGATCACGACTGAGAGATCGCCGACGATCTTTGTTTTGATGCTGCAACATCGAGGGATCATCGCCCTCTTTCCTTCTTCTTCTTCTTCTTCTTCTTCTTCTTATTTTTATTCCTATTCTTATTCGATTTTTACTATTTATTTTCTTTTTTTGTTCTCTTACTTTCTCTACTTCCTTTCTGTTAAAATCGGCAATTATTATATTACTACGTTCTATTTGGTTAGATTTCTAAAAAAAAAATATATATAAATTGTAGTAACAAAAGATCGTTTTTAAAATGACGTTTTTTTACGTTTTTTTTTGTATATTGGGGGGGGGGCAAAATTTAATCCCTCGCGCGGTTAAATTCAACGTTGATACCACGAAAGAAGAACGACCTATCCTGTCGCCTATCCTGGCACTTTTGACTATTCGCGGCACGAATTTATGTTATTGGTGCGCGGCCAACTCGGAATTTATATACGGTACGCGTGAGACATTCGGATGAAAGTAAAGTTTAATCGTGCTTTAACAGTCAAGTAAAGCTAACGACAAAAAAGTACGAAAAGTACGATTATCTTCCGTTACGGGGCTTACGTAATTGTACTTGATCTTGCTTTTTTTTAATGTTTTTAACACTTTATTTCACACAAACAGGATAATATTATTTATTCAAACGATAACAGTGAGAACGTGCGCGTAGTTTTTATACGAACCTTGAACAATTCATCGCGATAGGATCGCTACCAGAGGGAGAAAAATTTCCTTTTTAATTTAGTGATAGAAATTTGTGAGAATAAGAGTGAGAGAAAGAGAGAGAGAGAGAGAGAGAGAGAGAGAGAGAGGAAGAAAGAGTCAAAAAAAAAAGATAAAACAATTTGTTTTTTTTTTAATCCAAAAAGTAAACTGTTTTGATTTAACGGTGAAACGAGTGAAGCGATCCACCATGCTCCGATACACTTGTTCATTTACAGTGAAGGTCATCTCTCATCCGGATAACTCAACGAGCTTCGAAGTAATCGAGTCTCAAGTGGAGAATCCATTGATTGATGCCGATCATCAAGATCTTCTCGCTATGAAGCAAATACCAGTGCCTGGAGATCATCATCATCGAACTCATCGAAAGAAGAATCAGACCATGGAGGAGAACGATCGTAAGTACTTTTTTATTTCTTTTTGTTTAATAATAAGTTATTAACGGATTGATTGGATTCATTTTATTTTTCAATTAACTTAATTACTCGGTTTCGATTAAGACTTATTATCTTATTAACGTTATCAATATTTTTTAATTAATATACTTTATATCAACTATCTCTTTAATTACATTTTTATTAAATAATCTTTGGAGGAAAAAAAAAAGAATCGATAATACCAATTGTATAATATAATATCGCATGATAATATCGTACCGCTAAGATTTATCGTAGCAAAAGTTTAATTTAATTTCAAGACCGTGAGTCGTCTCATTTCCTGGGCCTTCGTTTCCAGCACCCCATGCAGCAAAGTATATATCTCTGCAGGTCCGCATATTATTTCTCGAGTTGCCGGATTTCGAACTTTAATCCGCCATCGGAGTGAGAACCGGCCAAGTTTTCGTCTAAGATTTCGATAGGGCGCTTGGATCGAGACAGTTCGAATCTCTGTGCGAAAGTCGTTTTCAAAGAGATACGCTGTAGAAAGTCTGTGTATATATACGGGGTGTTCCAAAAAATTGTGACCAAACTTATACTACGTATTACTGAGATCAAATTGATTAAAAAATGTTCATATAAACTTATGTTGGAAAATGTTTTATAGAAAAGATATAAGATATATATTTTATAAAAATATTTATGATTTAATGGAGCAGTCATTAAAAAATATTCGATATTTCTTCCTTCTACTAAGCTTCCATTCGTCGAATTAATGTTAGCCGAACTCTTTCAAACATTTCAACTTTATTCGAAATAATAGTAAATACATTTTGAATACACTCGTAAAGTTCATCTTCTATTTCTATCTTATTTTTATAAATTAAATCTGTTCCATGACCCCATAAATAAAAGTCCAGTGGCGTTAAGTCAGATGACCAAAGAGACCAACTCATTGAACATTAAGATACGTATACACTTCTGTACACGAATTTTTCCTATAAATCTTTAAATGCGTATATTTTTTCAATAAATCATTTCAAACATAAGTTTATATGAACTTTTTTTTCATCTATTTGTGGATTTCATTTTCAGTAATACGTAGTACAAGTTTGGTCACAACCTTTTTCGACACCCCGTATATATACATATAATATACCTACCTACGTTTACATATCTATAGGTATACATCCGGCTGTTGTAGTTTTTACACTTTACAGGGACTAATTTGCTTAAAGTACCGTCAGTTTTTGACGGTGACGATCGTCTCGCGAGCAGATATTTCCTTTCTCAACTATAATGGTGCTCTTAAACTCAAAACTTTTCGCTTGAGAAAGTGCTTTCGACCGTGACATTTACTTTAAGAACGAGAGTTTAAAGTGGTCTGCTTACGTTTTTTAACTTTGGAATCTATTACCAGGTGAAACAAGAAATAGAAAAAAGTAAATAGTTGGATTAAAGGATAACCAGAGATAATTACTTTGGGCTCGATCCGGATGCAATCAATTTTTGATGCGTTATAGTTAGCATCGTTGCTCAGCACAAACTTTTTGTTATTTCTTTTTTCTGACCTTCCTTTCTCTTATAATCTTTATCCATTCCGCTGATCCTTCTTTTTTTTCTTCATCACCAAATACTGTCCTCTGTTCAGACTAAATTCTTTATTATCGTCTTTTTTCGTTCCCTTCTCCTATTATAATTAATTTTTCATTCGAGATAGAGAGGTATATATACGTGGGTAAATGGAAGGATGGATGGGCACCGAATAGGTTGGTAGAAAGAAGTATATCCATTTTGCAATTTACTTTTTTCGAATTATTAGCAAAAACCTTTGATAATACCTGTCCTCTACTTCATTTATTTTTTACTTGGTAAAATAGAAACAAAAAGTAATTTAGAAAGGCGAATAAAAATACTCATTTTTCTTCCACTACCCTCCTTTTTCATATATGACTTATATATAACTAAAAATAAGTCACACGTACATTTCTACACGCAGAACAGAAACAAGTATATATAGATATATATTCGAAAGCGAAAGAGCAAAATTCTCGGCACACGCGGATTCCGCATTCATACATACATCCAATTTCGAGAGAAACAGCCGGTTGAAGCTCCAAGGTCGTTTCGTGGAACGATGAATCTAAATTGTTCCTTCGATATGTGTCCCTGGTTTATGCGTAAAAACGAAACATATTTACTAGAAGGATAATACATAAAATCCTTCCATCCAATAAATTTCTTTAATTTCTATAAAATTCGTGTTATTCTTTTATTTTGGAAATTTGTTAAAAGTACAAAGAAGAAGATTTTTCTAAAATTTTCGTTACGCTGAGAAGATAAAGTTACGATAAATGAATGAAAAACAATTCATTTATATGCTATTAGAAAAATATATATACTATTAAAAAAAGATTATTATTATTATTATTATCATTATTATAAAAAATATCTACATAGCGGAGATGCATGAGTCAATATTTTTTGTTTTACCTATTTTATGTTTTATGAAAGTAAAGAGGAAAAATTGCATTTATTATATATAATAAAAGATTCCATAAAACAAGGGGGCTAATTTAAAGTTGGCTTGTGAAGTATCGTCACTTTTTATAAATTCACCCTGATAAATAAATATCGAAAAAGTTGATACGATAATAATATAAATAATTTTTCATATATTCATTCTTGAATAATAATATTCCCTCGTTTTTTTTTTTATTATATCAAGCTTTTCGTAAACAACTGTGGAACACGCGTGTCGCTGTTATACTTTTCCCGGAAAAATTGACGCGTGACAATAAAAATACGCGACACCGTTAAATTCTTCTTTTTCTCTCTCTCTTTCTCTTTTCTCTCTTTCTTCTTCCTGTCTCTTTTACTAACTTTTTTATTCATACCAGTCTCGTGAAAACAAATACGACATAAAATCGTTGCTACCATTGAGAAAACTAAACAAACGGGAATCATTATAATTATAATTCAACCACACGTGCCTAATTCGCGATTTTCAACTGTCGTTCGTATGCACGCGTCACTTAACGCATATA